TTTTGTTTCAGCAATAACAAAAAAATTCAAATATCTTCAGAGTATAATTGTGCTAGATATGAATGAAATTCAGTCTAAATGTAGCAAATAAGGGGTTTTCCATGTAGTTTATGAGGAAAGACTTTAGTTACATAAAATATTTGTGGAATATCTTTCCATGTTGAGATTCTTTTTCACTTTTAGTGGAACTTGAGTCAAATCACATAGCTTCATGATTATGATCTTAAATAATGATGATGTAAATTAGGATACTTTGTTCAATCTCACCTTTTCATTTTAAATATTGTGAAGAGTGGTGAAGTTAGGCAGTTGTTTGAGGAATAGAAACTTGAAGTACCTCATCAAGGACTGCACTCAAAATATATTCTTTCCAAGCTTCGGACAGGGTAACAGGCAAAGCTATTTGCCATATTGTGATAATCTTTGATAAAAGTTAGAGGTACTGTCTTTTGAGAATAACTTAAAGCATTCATGTTTTGATTTATTAATGGAAATTAGCATAAATAATAAAGTATATTTTAAACAAGAGAAATGTCTGATAATCCTCCTTTATAAAATCTCACTTTGTTTTAGTATGCCTTGGTCAGCTGTAGAATTCTCAAGGAGAGTGTGCATACTAGGTAGCTGTGTTATTAGTTTCCTAAACGTGTAAATGAGAGGGATGTGGGTCCGGCAAGTGGTCTATCCCTCAGTTTTGAAGGAATAAAAGAAACAAAGGAAGTTGGTGGATGACAGACACCAACTGACAGATATGCATGATCACGTGACAGTCTCATTCAGACAATAACTTATGTTATCTTTAATCCTCACAACCAACCTGCAAGGTGAATATTTTCTCTCTTTTCTAATTGAAGAAACGGAGATTGAGAGAGGTATCCAAACTTGCCCAGCCCCAGAATATTAGGTCAGCGTGATTTTAAATCCCTTGCTCTTAGCCACAAAAGAAAATCTGACAGTTTTTTTACTTTGTGTTCCTAGAACATCTCACATAACACATATCACATTTTGCACAGCACTATAATTATTGGTGAGTGTACCTTTTAGCATTCATGTTTTACTGCAAGTGGTTTTAACATGGTGATTACATTTGAGGCTTGTAGCCACACTCTCCCCACTTGACCCATAGTCTTAGCACAGAGCTTTGTACAGAGAGAAGGCTGAGGAAATTTTATTGGAGATGGAAATACATTTTGAAATTGACTTGAATGCTTTATATCATTAGTAAATCTTTTTTTATGAGTGATTATCTTGTCCTATATGACTTAATGAGTCCCTAATGCCTTTTCTTGGTTTTTCCTTTTTATGTGATTTTAAAGAGCTATGTTTCAGAAATGACTTGAATGAAAATCTCTTTTATATGAAGACTGATTGGTTTGGTAAAGTTAATGACAACACATGAAAAAAATCATCTAAGAAAGTTTACATTTTTTTTAAATGTTTGTGTTCAAAGAGCGGTGGTTTATCTTTCTGTAGGTGATGAACAGTCTTATCTTTCAAGTTATCTATTAAAATTCATACAGTTGAATTATGACTATTTATTATATGTGCCCCCAATTAGCACCTTATTTTGGGGCTGTGGCTGGGAGGTGGGCAGTTGGTGAGATTGGAGTGTGAGAATATGTTACCCTCCTCAAATGATAGCTTCTATTCTTCTAAATTCCTTTCCCCACCTGTTTACACAATAATCATGAAAATAAATTCCTATGTCCAAAATGAATGTAAAATATCTTAGACGTGGCTTTATTCCTTGCTGTGAAATCTTAAACCCTTATTATAAATAATAGATGTGCACTTCCTCATCCTTTCTATAAAGTAACTTTCTCCTATTGCTTCATCAATGTAAAAATATATATCATATGAAATAAACTATTATGGTTTTCATTAAAGCCAGACTTAACAATAGCAATACTCATATTTCACCATGGGAATAATTTTCCCTGTTCCTCCAAGGGATACAATGTATTACTAGGCTGCTTTCCTTTTTAAACATGTCTTTCTTCTTTTTTCTCTTTGTCCCTCCACTTCTTCCTCATATATCCATACTGTTCCCAAGTTCTTCACTCTTCACGATCAAATAACATATTTAATCAAGGCCTAAGTCTTCCTTGGAAACTCGCTACATTGTCCCTTTCCCTTGCACAGTGAATAGACCTAATTACTCTCATACTTTTTTTTGTTTATTTCTAGTTTTGAGAGAGGAAAGAGCACTGATATTGGAGTCAGACATTTGGTTTGACAATCTTGCTGCAATACATGGTTGATTTTCCTCCTCAGTAAACATGAGACAATATTATCTGATTTATAGATTTGTATGGAGAATTAAATCAGATAATAATATAATATCTAGAACATTTCTTGGCATATGATAAGTACTAAAAATATGTTAATTCTTTTCGTTATCTTGTGACTTTATTTACTGTGTTCTGTTTTTCCCACTACAGTGTGAGTTGTGAGAAAAATTGTTCTATTTCATTTGCATTTTCAGTAGTATCCACTATGATAGATATTAGTGTATATATTTTTGAAATAATGAATAAATAACTCACCTAGACAACTGCCCGCAATTTTTTGGGGTGGCAAAATAATTTTATATATATTTATCTTATGTATATATATGTTTGTTTGTGTTTGTGTGTGTATATGTGTGTGAATACACACATCTCCTGATGCCATAGACATAGAGTGAAAAAAAAGACAGTAACTGAATGTTGAGAGTTGGGTGCGGGAGATATTGTTTGTTTGTTGATATATCAGTCGATTTGAATATCCTTCTTTGAGCATCTATTAATTATTACATGCATATTAAAGAATGTAATTTTAAATTAGCAATTTCTTTCAGAATTTATTTTCAGAAAGAGTTATATACTTATGACAATTAAGAATAAGTTCTGAATGTTTTATTTTAGAGAACATGAAATGAAAATGTTGCATGTGATTCCTTTCCACATAGTTTGTTTTATCTCAACCATATTTTTCTTATCAGTGCTTTCCCTATTGTAAAAGTAAAATATTATGAGATTGTCTATTATGAGCTTTGTTTTGTATAATGTCTGTGGGATTAAAAGGAAAATATTTATATCTGTTGTGTCCAGATTTAGTGTTCTAGGAGTCCATACAATAGTGACTCAATAAATATTTATAAGTTAAATTATCAAATGGTCTTGCTTTGTACACATCCACATTAAAAGGATGAGTGGGATAAAATTGAAAACTAATGAGATGTTTAAATGTTGAGACATATAGCACTTATTACATAGATGCTGCTCTGGGCAGTACATATTTTTATGTATTTTATATAATTTTAAATTATAAATTTAACTCATTTAATGTTCATATAACCATATGAATTCAGTAATATCACTCTTTCCCATTAACAATAGGAAACTGAGGCACTGAGGTGTTAAGTAACTTGCCCAAGATCACAGTACAAGTAGAGTTAGTAATTGAGATCAAGTGGTGTTGCTCCAGAATCTCTGCTCTTCATTACCATTAATATGCAGTGCGAGACATTCAGATGAATCTGTGTAATTTTGCCATATAACCAAAGCAAATTTTTCAGAAATATTTTGGCATTTATTTTGGCAGAATGAGGTTTATTAATACAGTCCATCAGTAAACTATTTTGAATATCCCTTTTCAGAAAAATTTTAAGTTTGTACTCAAAATGTGAAATTGTTTTAAATATATGTCAATCACCAGAACAAAAAGTAGAGAAAAAAGAAAGAGAGAGAGAAAGGATGAAGCGATTTGTATGTGATCGATTAGTTTTAAAGGTGCAGACTGTTAAAGACAACATCATCAAATTTTGTTTCATGTTCCTTCAGCATTTTTATTTCCTAAGATAAATCTGTGCAGACTTTAAGAGGAGGCAGCTATCCCAGTTTGGTTCAGTAAAATAACCTTTTTAATGCTTAAAACTTTTAATATCTTCCATATACCTTTAACACGTTTAAGCAAGATTCCTCATCTTAAGTTGTAAGATCCTAGAAATTATGCTGCGTGTTTTATTCAGTATTCTATCCTGTGTCCCTAGCCTAGTGCTTTGTATTTCAGTGGACACTCAATAAGTCTCTGTTGAATGAATTTAGTATGTTTCAGTGTAATTAACTAACATAAATCTTTGGTTTTCATGGATCTACTTACAAAGATGCTTAGAAAAGTAATATAGTTAACATGTAGAATAATTTCCGAATGAATATCAGGGCCTAGAATGAAAGTAAGGCTTATACATTTAACTTTTTTTGTTTTAAACTCGTGGTATTGGTAAGGAATGAAATTTTTTTACTATTTTAATATTAGCAAAAATTATACTTGTGGAAATTGTTTATACAAAGCAAGTCCCAAATCTATTTATACATTATAAAACCAGTATATTCATATTAATTTGTCCAGTGAGATTGAATTACTTATTTCAGTCAGTTTGGGGGCTGGAAAGTAAACACTGTGGTAATATGTGCAGAAATAACATTCTTTAGATTACTTACTCATTTTTATATATGACGCCTGTATTCATTAAAATAAAGAAGGGATAGATGGTTACTAGACTTGTCGTGGTGATTGTTGCACGATGTATATAAACGTCAAGTCACTATGTTGTACATCTAAAACTAATATAATATTGTACGTCAACTACACTTTGCTAGAAAAAAAAATAAAGAAGGGAGGAGGCGCCATAGCATAGTGGTTAAGTTTGTGTGCTCTGCTTGGGCAGCCCAGGCTTTGCAGGTTTGGATCCTGGGTGCGGACCTATATGCCACTTGTCAAGCCATGCCATGGTGGTGTCCCACATGGAAAATAGAGGAAGATTGGCACAGATTGTAGCTCAGGGACAGTCATCCTCAAGCATAAAGAGGAAGATTGACAACAGATGTTAGCTCTGAGCCAATCTTCCTCACCAAAAAAAAGAAGGGAGGAGGTATACAGATGTTCTACTCAGAAAATAAAGTTTCTAGGAATTAAGAATACCTTATTTGATAACCCATTGTTTTTCTTGTTTGCAGGATTCAGAATTGGGATACTGGTGTTTCTGTTTTTGAGGAATATTTCTTTTTGAGTTTTTTTTTTTAATCATCAGTCTTGGAATACAGAAGAGGAACTAGAAAGACACTATTTTGTTTCACGTTTGGAGCTCTCACTCCTGAGGCACTCTCATGCCCGAGTACACAGCCATGTGGCCATCACAGCTACTAATCTTCATGATGCTCGTAGCACCAATAGTTCATGGTAAGCCCTTTACTTAGATTTTTGTGTGGTGCTTAATGTTGTCTCACTTTTTTACACTAGACTCTTTCTTCTAAATCTTTGCTCTGTCATTTTGCAGCTTTTGCCTACCATATATTAAAATGAGTATATATTAACATGGCTAAGTAAAAGACCATAATGTGTACCTTAAGCTGCAATAAATATCATTTTAAGTCTGATTTCTTAAAGTGTCTATTGAAATTTATGTGTAACCAAAAGGTTTTTTTGTTTGTTTGTTTTTTAAAGAACTCCAGCATGTTTTATTCTTTGTTTATACCACTTCTGGAAAATTAGCTGAATTATTCACTCTATCATTTATGATGAATTGTTTGGTTTACATACTTTTGTACTTAAAAATAATATTCAATCCAGTAAGTATGCACATTTGAAAGAAAACACCAAAAAATTTGCTTTCTCAAACCACATAAATATTTATTTCTGAGTGTTTACTACTCGATTCAATCTTTAATACATGCAAACGAAACCTTTCAATAGTGGGAAATTGTTTTTGTTATATACCTTTTAATTCAAATAAGAAAAAACAAACATCAAAATGATATGAATTATGCAGAAAGATAATTTTACTGAAACATGCTAATATACTCATAAAAGACTTGTATGCTCTGTTCATTTAGACCTCTCGGTGTTTATAACACAAATATGGTAGTTAAATGATATACCTTTGCAAATTTTATAAAACATACAATCTTCAATAAATAAACAAAAGACAAATTCTGTACAACTTAGTGTAATATTCCCTGATGCTCTATAAAAACTTGCAAATTAAAGTCTTTATGTTCTGTTTTTATAGTTTAAAGTTTTCCAATACTTATCATCGGTTTTGCCCCAACATGAAAATGTTATAATAAAGTTACTATGTCATACATTAATGGTACTTATAGCAAAGAAAAAGGCGTGCAGCTCTGTCTGCCGCTGCTTAGGAGGTCTCAGAATATTACAGTGTAGCAAGCAGCTGCAATGAAGTTTTAGCCTCTTCTGCTCACCTTTCGTTTTTAATTGACTGCAGAAATCTACTGCACTTCATCAGCGAGGCAATTCCAACTTTGGCCCCTATTCCTAAGTTTCAACGTGAATGGCATTCTGCTGTCATTATAAAAACTAGATTAAGTAACTTCTGTCTCTTTTGAAGTTTTCCTCTAAGGTTCCCCTGATTTAACACATTTATTTCTAATAAACCACTCTAATATGAGGTAGTTTTTTTTTTTAAAAAAAAGAAGAAAATTATACCACCATCTAGTTTTAAGCAATGTAAATTTGTCAAAATTTCAAAATGTTTCCTGAATTCATATACTGATGGAGCACTTGTACATTTCACATAATTGAGCCAAGAGAACATTTGTGATATGGGACAATAAAAGAATTATATCACTTAACAAGTGCTTTTCTAATTATCTGTATATCTAAAGATGATTCTAATTAGGTTTTCTGAGGTTATAAAAATGCCTCACTCAAAAGGTCATTTTGAAGATTAAGTAAATAGTATATGTAAAGAATCTAGTATACTGCATGACAAATATTAACTGCTTGAACATGTTAGTTTCCTTCATGATGCTATCTGTCCCTCAGTTTATTTTTGCTCCAGTAAATTGTAATGACCAGGAATTAGCTAACCATGAGAGCTGTGTCATTTGATGTTGATACTCATGGGAGGAAAATACATATATATATACATACACACAATTCATGTTTTAAAAAGTCAATCTAAAATTACACCTGTTTGAGGAAGGTAGGTTAAAAATAGCAAAAATAGACATTTTAAGAAAAAGTCTTTGCAGAGCTGAAATTTCTGGCCTCTAAAAACTGACACCTACTGTGTATTTCAGTGGGCCCCAAACATAGCTGAGCCGTAGATCATGGGTCTTGGGTTGGGACCTGTATTGAACACACACACACACATACACACATGCACACACACATACACACACACGGAGTCTCTCCAAGTACCTCTGAGGAGTATTTTAAAACCCCTAGTAGTGCACATAGAAAATTGACCTGGTATATAAAATATTTGGGGCTAAAACCTTAAGTAATCATTTCCATTTTATGTGAACTATTTTCTACTATCTCGATTTTGAAACATATCAGGCTGAACACTGTAGAAGCTTTCTACTTGTAAATTTTACCCTTATTACCTTGTATAGGTATTTTAAAACTTGCACCAGAGAAAATGCACATCAGTCTTGTTGGCCATCTGTAGAAGGCATTTCCATTGCCTTTGTGGTATCACTTCTGACTTGTCAATAAAGGCTTACACATGAACAACCTTCTGGAACCCAGTTTGTGCACAAACAGAAGAATGTGTGAACCTTTGATCAGTGCCAAAATCTGACAGGGTAGACATTTCCAGACTCCCCACCAATCCTGGCGTAAAGGAACACTGCACAGTATGGAACCTTAGACGATTAAGTTAAAATGGATAGAAGTACTCTTGTTTTCAAAACATCCCCTGTAGCATCTCGCTGCCTACTGTCATTGAGATGCCCAGCTTTATCCCTCCTGACCATAGAGAATGCCTTTTTCTGCTTGTGACCTGAATTGCTATCCCATTCTCCAGAGCAAATAAAAATGATGACTACTAATTTTATAGCCATAAACTTTAGACGTATTGGTACAATTAATCCTCACAACAGTCTTATGGGTTTAGTATTAGTAATTATTATTATTATCATTATCATTAATTTTTTACAGTAAAAACATTGAGGTACAGAGTGGTAAAGGAACTTGACCGAAGTTACACAGCTGTTATGTGACACAGAGGGATTCAAAACGAAGGACCTGGTTTCTTGAAACTCTGGTCTTACTGCATGTAGATAATCAATTCCCGTTAAGGCTATTCTTCCCTACAGAGAATCCCATCTCCACTCTCCTGGTCATTTGGGAGCAGGTGAGGCAGAAACGCAGCTCACCTGCCTCTTCCATGTTCTGGGCACAGACAGATTGGGCTTTGAAAACTGACAGACCTAAGATAAAATTCCAGCTCTGCCACCTATTAGCTCTGTAATTCTGTTACTTTGTAAACTAGTTAAATAGCATTTGTCACCGCCTGTGAGCTGGAAAACTATGCTAGCTGCTAAAGATACGGTAATGAATAAAAGATTCCTAATTCTTCCCTCAAAGAGCTTACAGTAACATAAAAATTTGTAAGCCTACTTTTCATCTACAAGAATGAACATTTATTCCTTGCAAGTTATTTCAAGGAACAGCTAGAATAATATATGTATAGCTTCTAACATAGTGCTTGGCATTTGGTAAATCTTCCTTATATTTTATTTTCCTACCCCTAACTACCTTGAAATAGAGCTAAACCTCTGAGCATTAGATAAAGAAAATGCATAATTATCCTTATTCTTACCCTGAGAATTGAAAAAAATCTTTTTATACTTGAATATTTGTTTTGCCAGAAATTTCTTAATACTACTATCTAAACAAAATTCTTTAAACTGATATGTATGAAGGCTTAGTATATAACTATCAGTGATACAAAGTCAGGGGTAGTTGTATATAATTGGTAGTATGTAATTATCAGTGATACCTTTTTTGCATGATTTCCACATGGGTAAAATTAGAAACCAAGCTAAAGAATTAATTCTGAATAATGTTTACATTAGTTGAATAGTCTCTACATTGTCCTAGAAAGTCTGGCCAGTATTTTATAGAGAAAAACAAAATTAATCAGTACACTCACATTGTCTATATATATGTACACAATTTTTTGATTAGGATGTGTCTCTGGTTCTATGTTTATCTGTCCATATTTTATGTCTCTGTGTACCTCTGTATTTCTCTTTTTCTGTTTTCCATGACTGTGCCCCCTTCCTATACAGCCATAAAACACTTATTTATAATGCAGTGAGACCTGGCAGCAGTAAAGAGAAGCAGCTAAAGCAGATGGCCAGTTCTTTGCTGTTAACTAATGAAGGGTTGCGTGAAGATAAAGGATTGTTTTGTTCTATTGATGTGGTTGGGAGCAAGGGAAAAGATGGGAATCAGAGAACAGTAATCCAGTGATAATGCAGCCACCTAGGGCTCATCCTGATTGGCAGGAAAGGGATACCAAGGTCCAGTGTGGATCTGGGCTGGGAGATCTTGTCCTGGGAGGTGACTTCGCCCACGCCACAGTTGATTGGGAGTGGAGAAGGTGATTGGGGTGCTTAGATCTTTTAACTAAGTCTTATCTTAATTAAACTGTACTTATAAATTGTGTCACAATTGAAAAGATAGTAAACAGAATCATTGGAGCTTACTGTGGGTAAAGGGGAGCAATATTTTTTATGGTACCTTTGCAGAAAAAAATATGGTTTTAAAAAATTCTTCTGTAACCACCATATGTGTGGTTTTTTTCTGCTAGTCTGTTTTTTGTTGTTAAACTTGCATGTGTATTTATATATTCATGGACTTTACAGGCTAACTCGCTTTTTATTATGTTCAAGAAGTTTATTATAATAAACAGTTCTTAGCAGGGACAAAACAATGATCAGATGCAAATATATTTAGTACTATATGTTATGTTATTTGCATTTTATTATTAATCTGTATTTTACAGTTGTAATTCTATTTAATGTGTCAGTGATTTAAAATCACACCCATATATTTTTTAACTTCTAATAAGATGTGAGGCTTTAGAAAGTACAAAATTTCATTTTACTACTTAATAACATAATTCATTTTATGAAGTGTTTTATTAATTGCGAAAAAGTCAGGTTGACTTCTAAGCTTTGCTTAACTTTGTTATTTTTAGAAATTAGTCATCTTTGAAATGTTTGTAATGTTTGCCAGCCTAGGTAATTTGTAATACTTGCAGTAATATGACTATTTTTATGGTTAAATAGGTTATACAGAAAAATCTTTGTTGTGGTCATGATATATGAGGTTACTGCGAATGCATTGAACACTATCTGCATTAGCCACTTGGTACTGAATTTCAAAATATTTATTTCATAAGTTAACTGTGCAATCTCTAA